CCAGTTAGAGGAATGATAAGAGCATAGCATATTAAATGTACCCATTATTGTTTTCAAATAAGAAAGTTTTGTTAGCAAGAAGATTGTAGTTTAAAGAGATGTGTTATCTATTATTTTGGGAATTTGATTATATTATAAAATAATTTACTATGATTGGTCACAAATAGTGTTGTATATGGAGAATCACACAACTATTGTCACAAATATAAGTTATTTGTGACAATCAAACATGTCACCGTTATTGTTTTCATGTCAAAACTAACTCGTCACAAAAATGATTTTAATTGACGAAAATATTATCACACAAATACTAGTATTTGTGACAAACAAAGTTATCACAACTAGGTTAGCCATTCGTGACAATTTGAACTCATCACGGATACAAAAATTCAATGTTGCAAAAACTTGTAAAAAATGTTGTCTATGCTCGTATAATGTGTTGCGAAATGTTCAAAATATGTTGCCTAAAGTAGTGTTGCAAAAGAGGTAAGAATACACAACTCTTTTTTATTTTGGTTGCGAAAAATAAAAAACTGTTGCTTATTCTTTTTGCAACCCCCACTATATGCAACCCTAGTAAAAGTGTTGCGTTTGGATGTTGCAACTATTTTACGACTTTACGCAACACATTTTTGGAGTTGCAAGAGGCCATTTTTCTCGTAGTGTGTTCATCTTTCTTCTTCTTCTTCTTCTTCTCTATCTTCCACGTTGTAATTTCACCAACAACTAAACAAGTCATAGTCTTCTCTAGGGCTGGAAGTTTGGTACCGCTATTTGGGATATACCGAATACCGTACCGAATTTGTCTATATTTGGTAATACCGAATACACGTATTATTTCGTGGGATTGGGATTGGGATTGAGTTTCAATTGTTATGCGGTATTAGGAATTACGGGATTGGGATTGGTATATACCGAAATACCGATCAATACCGAAATATAAGCTAGTGTGTATTTTATCCTCTCAAGTAGATTCTCTCATTCACTACTACGCAACCCTCAACCACCAAGAGTGTCATTTAATTATACATAGATCATTACATCACTATTTTACACTAGTATTAGTCGTCTCTCAACCTAAAATTCATCAAATTAAAGATTACCAATTACAAAAACTTGAGATGTTAGCTCTAGGCAACTCAAGACTATTTGCTTAGTCTCTTTGCCCTAAATTAAACAATAAAATCTAATTTATATATATATATATATATATATATATTAATTATTAATTGCAAAGGTAATTAATTTTGTATTTGATAATACCGATTGGGATACTGAGGTACCGATTGGGATACCGAAATATTTAGGGATTGGAATTGGGATACCGAAATTATTTAGGGATTGAGATTGAGATTGATTTCAGGGTGTAATTCGGTATTCAGGATTTTGGTATTTGATATTGGGATACCGATACCGTACCGATTTCCACACCTCGTCTCAGTACCCCTGTAGAACAGAGGTTGGGTTGGAGGTAGATTTCTGTGTAGTTATTATCCTACCGTTATTATATATCAAAACATACTCTATTTCAAATTTCCAGCTTTCTAAGATTTTGTAGGAAGGAAATTTTTGTCATTTAAACTATTAAAATAAAATATTTGTAGACTTCTAAATTAATAATATTTCATACCCGAAAATTATACTATGAATCCTAAAATAGACCCAAGTTTTCCTAAATTTCCTACCCATCCCATTTTTCTAGGAAGGAAAACTTCTCCTTCCTTTTTTTACGTACCAGCATTCAGATAATAAATAATCTAATGTTTAGTCATGTTTATCTCAAACTATTTTTATTTATTATTAATACATATGTGCAAATAAAATATTTATAACTTTTAGTTTGAAAAATATTTATAACTTTTAGTTTGAAAACTTATAAACGTGTGGAATTTTAAGTTATTGGGTTAGTGGCTACACCAATTAAAAGTATTTAATTGATAAAATGTTTTTTATCAATTGGTAAATGTTTAATATTTGCAAACATTTTAGTTTTGCAAGGGTGAAGAAGTAAGAGTGACGGTGGAGGCAGTGAATTCAAAAATAGTGATAGTGAGTAGTAACGTTGTTGAGAATTAGGGATAGACTATAGATGTACAGAAAGGTTCAGTTATGAACATGAAACTACAATTATTAACAGAGATTATGATACATTTGGTGAAGCAATAGTCGTTTTTAATTATTATTATAATTATTATGACTTTTTTCCAATGTACTTGCACTATATCAGTGTGTTCCTCCCTAACTTTTACAGTAATTTCTTGCCGCAAGAAGTAAATTGAAGTGTATATTGATAAAGTTTTTTAAGAGTTAGTTCCCTTCCATGAGTTCTATTTTTTATTTTCGGTATGAACTTTCGTTGATGAACCGATTAGCACATCAGAAATCTCTACAATGTATGTTCCCTTTTGATATCAACAAAAATATATCTTACTTCGTATAATTACAATTGTAGCTTATGTGTTTGAAATAATGCATCCAGCCAACAGGCATGATACTTTTATTCATGAACATGTTAGCTTATCAGAAAACACTATGATGTATGTTTCTTTTTGGGTAATACCACTGGAAATACCATTCTTTAACGAAAGTGCTATTTATATTACATGCTTTCAATAAACACAAAAATATTTCAACCTATTAGGGGTCTGCGTCATTTGTGTTACGCTTTCTGTTGACCGTTAGACTTGACGGTTGACCTGACGGTGGCCAACATTGTGTCCACGTAAGCGACAAGTGGATGCCACGTTGGAAAAAAAGAATAAAAAATTTGAAAATATTATTTATTATTTATTTATTATTATATTACAAAATTAAAATAATTTTAACCCCCCTCACCGTGAATTCGCCCTCCGACGACCAAACTTTCCACCACCAGGCACTTCATCTATCCATCTCCACGCCGCCCCTTCTCATTCCCCTTCATTCCCACTTCCAGAATCATTCCCAGCTTCCTCCCACTCCAACTTCTCCAAATCCAGCCTAAGTATCAGCATCGTCGAGCAAGACGGGTTCAACGAGAAGGTCGACACCCACCAATCATCAGCAGCTTGTTCCCATCCCCACGCACCAAATGAGGCCGCTTGATGAGATCGAATATATCCGCCCATTCATGCTTCTCCAAGCAAACCCAGTTGTTATGATTCGAGGAACACGAAGAGAACACCCCACTCCCACAACCAACACCCAATTGCTCATGAACTGGAACCGAATTATTCAAATTCAAAGTACAGGTGAACAATTTCCACTAAGATCGCCATGGGGAGCCAACATCGCACAGGGCAAAAACCGAGCCGGAGATCAAAACAGGCTCCTAGGTTTCGCAGGGAGATTGGAAGCGAAAGTTACCCATGAACCGGAGCAGGTACAGGGCGGCGGCGGAAGCGACGGGGTGGAGGGAGCGGAAGGGGAGGAAGGAGAGGTCGAATCGGAGCCAGCGGCGGCCGGTGGGGTCGAAGGCGGAAAAAGAAGGTTGAGGTGGGGGAGGAAGGAGGTGGTGGTGGCGGCGGTTGTGGAGGTGGGGAGGAGGGCGGAGGGCGATGAGAGAGAGGGGAGGTTGGGAGGAGAGGATGAGGGAGATGAAGGAAGGGGAAGTCATTTGTTTGATCGAAGGATCTGCAGTCAGTGGGAGGTGAGAATTTTTTTTACATTTCATTAAATAAGCCACGCCAGCGAGCCATGTAGGATCCTATTAAGCGCTGACTGGGCGTTGAAAAGTCGCCCAGTTATGTTTAACAGCCCAACTAATGGAGAAAACATTTTAGTATACAAATGGCATATCGAAAACGATGTAATATTAATGACACTTTCGTTAAAGGATGGTATTTCTGGTGGTATTAGCCCTTTCTTTTTTGATTAATTAAATAGTCCGGATCTTTTGACTTTTGACATCAAGAAAAATTTATCTTACTTTCGTATGATATCAATCTTTGCTTATGTGTTTGAAATAATGCATCCGGCCAACGGACCGAGTTTAAATCTAGTCCCTGTTATGTATATGGATATGCTACATGTGATCTTTTTATCTTGTTTTTGGAAATGCAAATAGTGACACTATAGTACTCATTGTGTCCCAATTGCTTAAAGGATTGAGGATCCTTTCGAACTCAAAATATGGCCTCCTTCTCATCTATCCCTTTCCAATTGGGGTTGACAGCAGTGCAGTTTGTTGTCTTGATTTAGTGCAGCTTCTCATCTATCCCTTTTCAAAACAGTTTTTCTTAGAAGCTCTGCTTTTATGTTATACAAAAGCCGAGCTTTTAGAGGTGTTTGACCCTACTTCAGTTTTTTAAGCCGAAAAGCACTTCTAAAAACCGAGTCAAACATAGGCTTTGACTACATTTAATTGTTTATAATTATTATTCATAGTTTATATTATAAGTCCTTTATAGTCATTTTACATAACCTCTCATATTAAAAAAACTATTGACCATTCCTTTACTCCTATCCCTACAGGCTACAGGTAAACACTAAGTCACTCACCTCTCTAAATATGTGAAGTGACATAAATAACCTAAATAAAACGAATTATCAATGGGAGAGTAAGGCCAAGTCCAATGCAAAACCCCAAATATAGGGGCCTTGAACCCCATTTCCCCTTCTTTTGCTCCAATGCAACAAACTCCATATTTGGGGTTTTTAACATTTCCAGTTTTTCCATTTATTGAAAAATGTACTTATCGAAACTTTAACATAATTTGTTCATGTTAATTTTTGTATAGTTCGTCATCATTTTTAAATACAAATTTTTCGATAGAATTTTGTTAAATTTCGAGACCGAATTTTTTTTAGCAAAAAATTATGGACCTAATTTGGGTTTACACACAACACTTGAAAATGATAAAGCTTAACGAGTTGACATAATAATTCAAATGGCACAATTCATAGGTTACACACAACACTTGCTAATCATAAAGCTTAAATATTACACACAACACTTGAAAATTATAAAGTTTTAAAATAACACACAACACTTGAAATGATAAAAAAGAAACACATAACATGTCAATAATCACCCAGAAGGGAATAGTAATTCCCGTAATCTCCTCCACCTTCATCTCCTCCTCCATTTCCATCTCCACCTCCAGTTTGACTTGCGTTGGATGAATAGTCGGGAACAGAGTTGGGATCATCTTGATCATACCCTAGGAGCATGTTTTGATGATTTTTGTAAAACTTCCTCTTTCTTGGTGTCAACTTCGACAAGTCCTTTTCAATAAGATCAAGATTGTTCCGAAATAGTGCTGCTTCTCTCTCTTTTTTCTCAACTTCCCACTTTTCTTGGTCACGCTTTGATTTTTGTTCTTGGAATTCCATCCTTCTTCGCTCATACTCAGTCCTCAAAGCATGCCTCTCCTTCAACTCACTTCCATACTCAAGCAATTGAGCAGTGTAGCTCTCTGATGACTCGACAACCCCCTTTCCTTTCTTCTTAGCTGCCTTCTGTTTGTCGCGTCCAGCAGGGCGAGATATGACGAATGGTGGAGTTTCTTCGACGAACGGTGGAGTTTCTCCGACGAATGGTGGAGTTTCTTCGTCTCCTTCTGTGTTATTGAGGTCTGTCTGTGGTGTTGATTGATAACCAAGACCCATGGGAGAACCATCAGAACCTTGACTCATGCGGCTTTGATTTGAAGATGGCATTATTATCACGGTATGAAATTTTTGGCATCTTTTCAAGATCCACCAACAATGACCAAAAGTCCACCCCTTTTCTCCGGTCTCGCTTAAATAGAGTTGTTCTGCCATATGCTCCTATACGTATAAATGAATGAGATGGAAAAGGAGTTAGAAAATAGAACACACGTACTAATGAACAAGGTAAAAAATAACAATGATGGTGACGGAGAATTCATACCACATCCATTTGATTCGTGCCACTTGGTTGATTCCTCTCTGCCCTTTGGATAGCTGAATTCCAACACTTGCAGTATTTGGTGATTGTGCCCATTCGATTAGCCATGCTTTTAATAGTACGAGATGTGTTTCGATCGTTCGATCGAAATTGCGCCGCCACTCTATCCCAGAACCTTGTATCCCTTTGATTGACACCCACAGCTCCATCTTCCGATATCATCACCCAAGAACTGCACAAGTTCTTATCTTTCTCCGCTGTCCAATTCCCTTTTCTCTTGCTTGTCATTGTTTGGTTTTTAGAGAGACAAAGACGATAGAAAGAATGAGGGGACTAACAGAAAATTTCAATAAGAATGAATGTTAGAGAGAGGGGAGGATGTCTGAATATATAGAGAATTTATGACCGTTAGGTTATGACCGTTCGGATATAAACGTTAGGTAAGGTTGGTAGGTAAGGCTATTAGGCATCACATGTTCGAATATGACCGTTAGGTAAAGTTGGTAGGTAGCACATGTTCGAATATGACCGTTATGTAAGGTTGGTAGGTAGCACATGTTCAGATATGACCGTTAGGTAAGGTTGGTAGGTAGCACATGTTCGAATATGACCGTTAGGTAAGGTTGGTAGGTAGAACATGTTCGAATATAAATGCAAATCCCCCATTTACCATCAATTGTATACTTGTCTGAAACTTCCTCCCATTTCTAAAACAAACACATTCATCATGAGTTCCTCAGATTACTCATCTTCTGGAGGAGAACAAGAGATAGAAGAGTTGAATCTGTTTAACTATCATCGTTTGACTTTAATCGGGCGGAGGCTTGAGGAAGGTTCACGCTCACATCGTCGTTCAACAAATCGCACCTACATTGATCGTGAAAGGGTCTCAGGTCATGACCGTCTTATGCATGATTACTTCAATCCAAATCCAACATACGATGCCCGCATATTCAGAAGGCGTTTTCGTATGCAACCACGACTATTCAATCGCATAATGGGTGACGTTGTGAGGTATGATCCCTCTTTTGCACGAAGGGGTGATGCCGTTGGTCACCTAGGCCTATCGCCGGAGCAAAAGCTTACTAGTGCACTGCGCATGCTAGCTTATGGATCTCCAGCTGATCAACTTGATGACTACATGCGTATGGGTAAGAGCACTGTGCTTGAAGTCTTCAGGAAGTTTTGCAGAGCCATTGTCGGGATGTACTCATCGACATATCTTCGTGCACCAACTCCTGCTGATCTAAGGATTCTACTTCATAAAGCCTCACAACGCGGATTCCCTGGTATGATTGGATCAATTGATTGCATGCACTGGGAGTGGAGGAACTGTCCTACTTCTTGGACTGGGCAGTACCTGGGGCACAACCGTAAACCAACAATCATTCTCGAGGCAGTGGCTTCGTACAACACCTGGATATGGCATGCTTTCTTCGGCCCTCCTGGGTCGAATAACGACATCAATGTTCTGGGGATGTCTCCAGTGTTTGACGGTGTCCTCAACGGATCCACCCCACGAGTACGATTTGAGGTAAACGGTCATACCTATGATCAATGTTATTATTTGGCTGATGGTATTTATCCTTCGTGGTCAACTTTAGTGAAAACATTCAGCAATCCAAGCTCAAACAAAGAAGCCTTGTTTGCTCGATGTCAAGAAGCACATCCAAAAGACGTAGAGCGGGCCTTTGGAATTCTTCAAGCTAGATGGGCAATCGTTCGTGGCCCTGCAAGATCTTGGGATGTTGCAACAATTAATGATATAATGTTGACATGCATTATATTGCACAACATGATAATCGAGGATGAGCAGGTTGATTCTGACGATGAGATGGAAGATAATCTTGATTATGAGGTCCACGACCAACAACCAACTAATGTCGATAGAGATATTCCAACCCTAACTGAGTACTTAGATAGGAATAATAGGCTTCGTGCTGCACCAACACATCATGGGCTTCGTCGGGACTTGGTCGAACATATTTGGAACTTGCATGGAAATAATTAGGCATTGTTGTTGCTTGGTATCGATGCTGTGATGCTTTGTAATTCAATTAAAGTTGTAGTTGGTGACAATTTATTTTGTAATTTACAAACACATTTTCATTTCCATAACATAATTTCCATTCTTAGTTCGATCTAATTTTTGTTTACACACAACTTAAAGATGATAAACATAAATTTTAAATAAAATGAATTCAATTTAAGTCATCTTAGAAAAAAAGCCTAAATACAAAAATATTAAACACAAATTAAATACAATCTAAAAAGCCTAAGTCGTTTGGAGAATATGAGTTTAAATCTACAGATTATCAACAATCTAAAGATTCTAACTCTTCGGATTGTTGAAAACAGATTTTAAAATGTTTATTGTTTGGTAATTGTGATTGTTAACAATCAAGTAAAATAAAAAATTCATTTTATATTAAATAACATGTTTATCCTTAATAAAAAATTAGAGTGGTTAGAGAAATATAAAAAAACTTTGTTGATAAATATATTTCATGTGATAAATAAATAAAAGGAAGAGAAAAATTTTGAGAGAAAAAATCTCACGAATCAAGATACAGAATCTCTCTGGTTATGAGAGATTTGATATCCGCAGATTTTAGAGATTTGAAATCTCTAAAGCTAGAATCCATAATACAAAAAGTAACAAAAAAACATAACTTTCTACAAAATCTACGGATTCAATGAATCCATGTCCTGAATCCTGTTCTCCAAACGACCACTAAATACAAACATAAATTTAATTCCCCTTCCCCTAATTAATTCAATTTAATTCCCCTTCCCCTAATTAAGTACAACCCTTTAATAATTCCCCTAATTAACTCGGCAACAATTAATTAAAATTTCCTTAATCAAATTCCCTAATTAATTACAACTCCTTTAATTATTGCCTTAAATAACAACAATTAAAAAAAAAAACACCTGTTGGGCGGCACAGCCGCCGGGGCTGGGCGGTGCGCCGCACGCGCAAGGGAGAGAATCTCTCCCTTGCGCGTGCGGCGCACCGCCCAGCCCCGGCGGCTGTGCCACCCAGCAGACAGCTCGGCCTCCATAAATGCCGAAATCGGCAAACCCTCCCCCATATATAGCGATCCAATTGCCGATCGCCTCCATAATTGTCGATTTTCGGCATTTATTTCTCTGCGTTGGAACTCCCCGATCACCATTAATGCCGACAACCCCATAAATGCAGGCTGCATTGGACTCAGCCTAATTGAAACCATGACAACATGGTTATGGCGTTGCATTATTTTCATATAATAGTAATCGGCTATAAATAAATAAAGAAAGCCGAAGAGTGAAGAAACCGACAGTAGCCGGTTGATTGTCGACGGCACGGGTACAGTGGCCGTACCATAGAATTCTAGACTTTTTCATTATGGCGTCTCTCAAAAACTGCAATTCAGTTCCAAGGACCTCTGCCGCCACAACACTCCTGCCCTCGGAATTACAGAAAGCACCCAAGATCGAATCCTTCAATAGAGCCAACGCGTGGGCGGCCCATTCCTGCCTCCCGGTTGGGTTGGCAACCTGTATGCAAACACGCAAAGAATTGTCATTCCAGGATGTTGCTTTTGCTTGTGAAGGTCTAGCAGACTAGCACCACAGCAGAAATGACAGATGACCCAAAAAAAAAAAAGACCAAAATGTATTCTTATCTGCCCACTTTGCAACACCTTTGTGTTCATTCTTTTTCCTTTTGTTGACACCTAAAATTAATTTGGCCGAAATTAAATGCCGCATTAATTAGTCTCGACATTTAATTCGATACTGCAGGTAAAAAACGGTGGCGTTTGGAGTTGAGCGGTGTCGTGGAGAGTTAAAACGATACCGCGAAACAGAAAAGCGGTACCGCAAGGAAGCTCAGCGGTACCGCGACACAGAAAACGACACCGCCGGAAAATAAGATGGGGCCGCGCGTTTTCGTATTGGTGTTGGAAAAGGAGTTTTTATTGTTATTCCTTGTTGGAAGTGGAGAAGCGGTACCGCATGGGGACAAGCGGCACCGCGGAGAGTTAAAACGGTGCCGCGGATTTAAAAAACGATGCCGCGGGAGCCTTGATGAACGGTACCGATTAATTAAAAACCATACCGGGTAATTGACCAAAATTGCCCCAGTCCGAGGCGAGTGCAGACTGGCGGCGGTACCGTGAGCAAGCCCAACGGTAACGCCGTATACTAGCAAAACGACAGTGGTTAAAATAAAAAACAATGTCGCAAAAGGAAAAACAAACGGAGCCGTTTTGGCGCTAATGATGTCGTTGGTCAATACACGAGTTGGACTAGTGATGGCCAGATTAATTAATTAATATTTTTAATGACTTTTTAGCACGATGTTGTTTAGTTGAAAACGATGCCGCAAGAGGAAGAAACTACACAGCGGATTTAAAAACGATGTCGCGAGTGGGCCAAACGATGCCGCAGTAGTTAAAACGACAGTGTTAAATTTAAAGCGGCATTGCATAGTTCAACAACATCGCAGAAATAGAGAACAATGTTGTTTAATTAAGAACGGCGCCGCGAAGTGAGAGTTTGACGGTGTGTCAACAATGATGGCCGGTTTGATTAATTAATATTTTAAGGATCAGTCTAGACGGTGTCGCTTTAGCCGAAAATGACATCGTGGGATATATCAACACCGTCGTGGTACTGAAACGATGTTGTTTAATAGAAAACAACGTCGCAGTGACGAGAGTTCAGCAATTGTGGATTTTGGCTCGGCGTCGTTTTGGCCAAGTTTCCGTGTGTCCAAGCGGTTTCGCACTCGTGGGAGTTACGCAACAAGGAGGAAGTTACCTGCACGGTTGACAGGAATGAAGACGTGGGAGGCAAAGGCGCGAAGACAGTTACCATGAATGCGGGGACAAGAGCGAAGTATAAAGATCGGGAAGAGAGAGAAGCTAAAGACGGGAAAATAAAATCTAAAACTGCATCGTCGCAGAATTATCAGTTTTTCTCTCTAGTTCGTAGAACTTCTCTGTCAAAGACCTCCTTTGCAGAGTCGTAGTAGTCGTAGATTGTAGTCGTAGTTGCGGAGCTCTCCAGAGGAACCTCCATAGGAGTAGAGGTAACGTAACTTAGAACACTCCTGGTTCGATTTTCTGGTTATTCGCCGAACACCCTCGTTCGAACGTAGTTTGGAGAGGTGGTGAACCGAATAACGGTTGTTTGATTAGAAGTCAAAGGGGCATCGATCAAATCAACATCGCCTACGCCGACGGTGGATATTTGACGGTCGTCTTTGTTTCTGTTCGATCGATCAAATCAATGACGCCGACATTCGACGGCGGATATTTGATGGTTGTGATTGATTTGTGTTTTGTTGAAAA